TTATTTTCTACAGAATGGTTGATACACCAGTAAAGAAAAACCTTTACAGGACTAAAAATACAGGGTGATTTATCAAATGTTTGACACATTCGATAAATTAACTATTAATCTATCTATTAAATCACCTTTTAATCAATAAACTGGATAGTTATACACATTAATATTATAACAAATACATAGAACTCAACTAGTATCACATTCATTAAAATGGCCCCCTAAAATCGTTTGTGTTATCATTAACAATGATAAATATAGCAATTAATTGTTTGTATGTTTTTAACTTCTAAAACAATGAAAGTAATTTTTAAAAAACACATCCTTACTAATTTACAATTTAGCCTGTAGAAACAAATATTTTTGGACAATAATATTAGATAAAAAAAATTGAAATTGATTATCTTTTTCCTGTAGTAACTGGTAATAAACAGGGGAATTTTTTTAAGTTTAACACCCTGTATCTCAAAAACCAATCATAGAAAAAAACTATAATTTTGGAAAATATCTTCTACAGGAAGGATGATACGCCAGTGAAAAAATATGTATACTTTTACAGGACTAATCAAAAAGTATAAAGTACTTAAAAAAATTGTTTTTTGATACATTCTATAAATTTACTATCAATATAGTTATTATCACCCTGTAGTCAATGAATTGGATAATTATATATATGGTAAATAAACAAAAGTCTCGTAAAAATACTGCGTTTCACATTAATTCTTATAAAAAAATATATTGACCCATGTCAATATTTACGAATCACCCTGTATAAATGGTACCTAATATCTTTTGTATTATCATTAGACATGATAAATATAGCAATAATTTATTTTTTAGTAAATATTTTCACCTTCTAGAACAATAAAAGTAATTATCAAAAACATGTCCTTACTTATTTGTGGCTCATCCTGTGAAGGAAAATATTTTTTGACCCCTTTTTATGTTCGTAGAATGCCGAAAGATGTTACAATAAAATTTGGTATACAGAATTATAATCGATTGGCTTTCTCCTGAAATAACCGTTATTGAATAAGTGGCATTTCTTAAGCTTAACACCCTGTATCCCTGTTGTTAAAAACAATTCCCATGGACACTATTGCTTAAGATGTCGAGAACTGCAACATATCAAACATTTATGACATTTAAAAGATCGCCACTTTTCCATAAGTAGTGTGCGGGGTCTTTTGTAAATTTTTCTATTACTGGTTTTAACATTGAGAATTTTTAAAAATGGCAATGCCATGTTTATAGAAACACAAAAACACTTCATTAGCCAACCATTTTTATAACCAGTAAAGATACTGAATTACTCTTTTCAACAAAATATTTCTACATCTGTTTTGTATAATTTTTAAAAATTTCAGTAAATGCTTTATAACAATTTTTAAACTATAGCAAATTTTTTAAAACGGCATAATTGAAATTTATCCGCCTGCCATTCTAAAACCAGTAAAGACCTTAAATTACTGTTTTCAACCAAATGTTTCTACGTCTGTGTTGTATGATTTTTGTGAATTTGATAATAATTTTTCGATAACGGTTTTAAACTAATCAATTTTTAAAGATGAGAATGTCTTATTTATAGAAACACATAACTCAACTTTCTCAACCTGTCATTTTAAATCAGGTAAAAATATTGAATTACTGTTTTCAACAAGTCGTTTTTACGTGTTTTGTATTTTTTGCGAGTTTGATAATTTATCGATAACTGGTTTCAAACTAATGAATTTATAAACATGAGAATGTCACATTTAAAGAAACATATAATTCAACTTTATCAACATCTCATTTTAGAACCAGTAAAGATATTGAATTACTGTTATCAATGTACAATTTCTACGTTTGCTTTGTACGAATTTTGTGAATTTGATAATTTTTGAAAAATGATTTTATACTAATAAATTTTTGAAGATGTCACGTTTCAGAAATGTATTTTACTTTTACAGTCAGCTATTTTAAAACCAGTGAAGATATTGAATTGAGGTCTTCAACAAAATATTGTTTTGCATTATTTAAGTAAATTTTAGATTTTTTAATCATGGGTTTTATGTAAGCGAATTTTAAAAAATAAGGAGAAAAGTTTAGCACTTTGACATTTCTTTAGACGAGCTTTAGACCGTTTTTGAGCCTATTCTCCTTCAAAATAAGAACACACCTGTTATAAAAGCTTTATTATGTATCTTCTGTATCCTCTTTATCAAACGATAGAAATAAACTTGTTAAATTAATATCTTGTTTGTCAGATTTTTAGGTTTAAACTTGTCAATGAAACTTCTATTAGACAACTTCCAATAATGAATTATGTTAAAAGCCAATAGCCATTGCAAATACATCTACTAATAGGACTGTTTGTATTCAGAAATTTAGAACCTCTATATTGTTCTCATTGTGTCATATTGAAAAGCCCAAGGATATATTTACGAATGAAAGCTGTATTACCAACTATCCAATTGTACCCAAATCGCTCCCATCAATATTTAACATTGCTTTATTGTAAACCTATAGATACTAATTGATTTATATCTTTGTTTAGATGCCTCTAGGAGCTCAGACATTTTATCATAAAACCTAACTTCCAATTATAATATTAATTTACAATAAAAAACTCAAATATAAAAAATTTTGGACATATTTGCTGTCATACAAAAGTGACAAATAATGGTAAGAAATTTGGTAGAATAAATGGCTGTCAATAATAACAGATTAACAAATTATGTAAAGTTATTGACCACCACTGGTACAGTGGACATACAAAAAGCCACAGAGCCATTCAAATTATACTTCAAATACAAATTTCGCAAAATTCACGTCAATGGAAATTTGATTTGAAATCCGGAAATTATTATTTAAAACCATATTCAACAACTGCAGTACGATTTCACAGTAATTGCAAAAGACTCATCATCAGTCATCACATGTTTAATTATAACATTATAAGCGGAATGGGTTTTCAAAATTGGATTAAAATAAAACTGGCATAATCTATTGAAATAATTGATTTAATGCTTTTGGCAACTTTGAACATTATGACATTTTAATTACAACACATGTAATATTTTTGTTTGAAGTAGGTAAAGTAGAACTCAAATAATAATTTAAAATTTCGGTGAAACCGACCAGCCGGACCAGCGCGTTAGTGTTCGAGAACGATCAGAATTGCTTTGAACGGGATAAATACGCACGGCGCGGCGACATTGCGCTTAGTTTAAAACTGAACGCGTAACCAACGTCCAGCGGTTGGGTTAGTAGAGAACAACAAAAAATAATATTATGGCAAGCAGTTGTAAGAAGGTAAAGACATACCACTTTCATTCGGAATGGGAAGAACAATACTTTTTTACAGAAGTTAAAGATAAAAATGTGTGTTTGTTATGTAATACTTCGGTCTCCGTTGCTAAAAAAGGAAATATTGAGAGACATCATAAAACTGTACATTCTAATTTTGAAAAATAATTTCCACTACATTCTGCCGCCAGAAAGGAGAAACTGAAACAGTTAAAAAAGCAGTTAATTGGACAACAATCAATATTTTTAAGAACAGTCGACAAAAATAAGGCTGCAACTGAAGCATCGTACCGTGTGTCCCAGATAATTGCACAAAAAAAGAAACCTTATGAAGACGGGGAAATGATAAAACAGGCGTTTTTAGAAGCTGCTGATTCGTTATATGCCAACTTTAGAAATAAAGACGAGATAGTTTCAGCTATAAAATCTATGCAACTTTCTGCTAATACAGTGATGAGACGTGTAGAAGTAATGAGCAATGATATTTTTTTACAGTTAAGAACTGACTTAGATAACTGTGTTTATTTTTCACTTCAACTGGATGAATCAACAGATGTCGTTGACACTGCCCAGATGGCCGTGTTCGTCAAGATGGTTTTTAGTGATTTTACGATTAAAGAAGATCTTTTGAAGTTTATTCCATTGAAAGGACACACTACTGGACAGGAGTTGTTTTCTCATTTGAAAAATATTATTTCTTCCGAGAAAATTCTAATATCGAAAATGGTAGGCTTGACAACCGATGGCGCTCCAGCTATGGTGAGTTGTGATAAGGGTCTGGTGGCGTTATGTCGTAAAGATGAAACTTTTCCGCAATTTCTCTGTTACCACTGCATTATCCATCAGCAAGCATTATGTGGAAATTTCCTGAAACTAAACAACGTTATGAAACTGGTGGTAAAAATTGTGAACAAGATTAGAGCTCAAGCGTTACAAAGAAGATTATTCAAAACCTTGGCCAATGAAGTTGACTGTCAATACGGGGACCTACTCCTTCACTCTGAAGTCCGATGGTTAAGTAGAGGACGGGTGCTGAAACGTTTTAATGATGTCCTATCTGGCATAGTTCAATTTTTCAAACAACGCGATGAACCGACTCCGAAACTAGAAAATTCAATCTGGCTTAGAGATTTTGGTTTTCTCGTGGACATTACAGAGAAATTAAACGAACTTAATTTGCAGCTTCAGGGGAGAGGCAAAGAACTAGCAGAAATGATTTTTGATATAAAAGCATTTATCAAAAAGCTGGAGTTTGGGGAACAAAACCTAATTAACAGCGATGCCAAGCATTTTCCTATTCTTTCAGAAAAAATATCTCAAAATCCATTAGAACCCTATGACAGCAAATATCATGTAGAAATAGTTTCTGCCCTGAAGAATAACTTCAAAAATCGTTTTAAGAATTTCAACGAAATGGCTTTAGTAGTTTCATCCCTTATGGAAATTGATATCCAACAGTTTGCAACTTGTGTTATGCAGAACTTTGGCGAAGACATCGCTGCAACAGAAATGGAAGTAATTGAGTTTCAAAATGATTTAGCCTTAAAATCGTTAGTCTCAAGTACCAAATGTATCTGGCCTATTGTAAGTAAAGACAAATATTCAGTTCTATGCCGTGTTGCCTTGAAAGTGAAAGCATTATTCAGTTCAACCTATTTGTGTGAATCTTCTTTTTCCAATATGAAGTTTATTAAGAACAAATATCGCAATCGACTTACAGATGAACATTTGGATAATTGTATTCGAATGGCTGTATCAAATTATACTGCAAACATTAAAAACATTATCGATGAGTCTGAGTGTCAGCCTTCTCATTGAACGTGCTTTTTTATTTTTCAATGTTTATGTTCATGATAGTGCGTTACTTTTTTGTTGTTATTATTAACTATTTTTAAATCTTACGTGACATGCCGTTGTGGCTGGATAAAAGTTTGTGTTTATTTTTCAAACACCTTCGTTTGGTAGGTAGGTAGGAATGTAGCTATGAACAAGTACGTACTAGTAATATTAGTTATTTTGTTATTAGTTCATTATTAGTACCTATGTATTATGTATTACTAGTTAAATAGTAAAATAAATACATATAATGATAAATTAACAGTGGATTATTTCATTTACGTTGCGTTACGTGGCTTCCGTGTGGGTAGCTCGGTGTTTATTCCAAAATTAACAAAGTAGCTCAACACATTGAGAGGTTGGCGACCACTGTGCTAAGACATTACGGAGTAGATACTTCTAAGGCGAAGTATCCTATGTATAAGGTACATAAGAGTAAATACTACTTGAACGAAGTAAATGCTACATTGCTATAGTACAGGGGTTCCCAAAGTATGGCTCGTGGGCCATTTGCGGCCCGCGAAACCGTTTCATGTCGCCCGCGAACAATTGCTTGGTTGAATAAACGAAATTATATTGCTTAATTTAAACATGAAAAAGAGTCAAGTCATAAACTACAGAAACTAATAATTATGAAAATTGAGAGTCAGCAAGAATGAGAAAAGACCAGTGGATTAACCAGACTATTTAACATCTCAACCAACAAAGGACAATTATCTTTTATTCTAACACACGCTACTCAATACAGACTGTATCTCAACCCCGATTGGATTTAAACATTTTTTATTCATTACCAGAGTAATGTATCAATGATTTATGCAAAATGTCAATGTGAAGTTTGTTAAAAAGGTGAGGAAAAATTGACAAAAATTGTTTTTGTTGTTAAAATATGCATTTTAATTACAGAATCGATTTCATCTTACGGAAAACACGCAAATGTTGTTTATAAAATTCTGTTCATATTGTTAAATAATCTTTCCAAATACCACGCAAGCTGATTTTTTTTTGAGAACATTTTGTTGTTTGTCTAGATATGGAGGGGAAATAAGCAAAAGTAAGATAATATAAGTATAGATATATAGATAAACGTTATTGGGAGATTTTGACGTGCCCTTATAGCTGAATATAATGTGGTAAGTTGGCCCTTCTATTGGCCTGACAAAATCGGTAGTGACAGACCTAATTAAAGAACATTCCCTTGTGAAATTCAAGGAAAGATTGGACGAAACAAGAAATTGCAGAGTTGCCAGGGAGCTCTTAAGTTATCCTGACAATACTGCAGCAAACAAATACTTGACTATGACTAGACAGAATCTGCGCCTGGTCACAGGCATTCTGACTGGTCATTGCCAAGTACGGAAGCATCTCCATATCATGGGGCTGTCAGAATCCGCACTCTGCAGAGGGTGCGAACAAGAAGATGAGACTATCGAGCATATCCTTTACGATTGTTCGACGCTCTCATTTATTAGAAGATTTGTGTCGAATATAAGAGAAGCACCTCTTGGCGACGTTGTCAACTACATTAAATCTGTAGGCTGGCTCACGAGCTATGAGGTGCCTATCATCTTAGGAGGATGCACAATGGGCCTAATGAGGCCTAAGTGCCGTGTGGGTAACCCACCCTCCACATGTTACAGATACATATACAGAATATGGTAAGTTTCAAACAATTGTTTATAAATTAGCAAATTGCTAAACTTTTTGTTAAATTATTTAATGAGGTGTGACCTCAGATAAACAAATGAAATATAGATGTGTTACAAGCGAAGTTTTACATAGGCTTTGTTTGAAGCCAGTATCTACAAACTTTTGACAGCCGTGGTCCCCATGGGCGTATCAAATAGTTTTTTCATCAGAACCCAAAGCATTCTTTTGTAAATATTTTGTCAATAACAAATTTAAAGAACAATGCAACTCATGCATAAAATTTCATTTTACAAAAATTAAATTCTATTTTTTATTCAAATGTAATAAATGATACTTATAATTCAAATAATTACACTGTTAATATTGTTTATAGGTAGATATCAGTAAACTGTATATTTAAAATAAAAAGTAAGCCAAACTGAATTTACCCATTAGGTCACAGGAATACTGGTGAGATTGGTGCCTTTGCAGGTCCGTTTTAATCATTTCATCTTATTTTAAAACCAGGATAAATTAATTTTTCTGAAACTCAACAATAAAAAAAATCCAATTTACTTTTCCCTTATATACCTAAAGGTAGCATTCTTACCACTTGAAGTGATACATTTAAATTTATTTAGCATATACGAGGGATGTCAAAAAATAGGAATTAAGGCAGTTACTTATTTTTAAAAATATAAAAAAAAAAGATATGTGATAGATTTTATCATTTCTTAAGAATAAACAAACAGCTTTGAAAGTAATTTATAATGGATAGATACCAATCTATAAATTTGTTGAAACTTACCTTTATAGCCTGTAATCTTGTTCCAAGAAAGATCTAATGGAGACTGTTAAGCCTAATAGAAACAATAGATCTCTGTTTACAAACTTATAAACTATATAGAAGCATAGAAAGGTTGAAGTGACGAGGCCTTTAAACCTTGACTAGCGGCATTAATTTTATTCGGATAATATATTTATATTTAAATAAAATGCTAAGATAAATTAACTGTAGCTTTATTAGTAAAATAGTAACATTACAATTTTCCATAAAAACGCCCCCAACTCTAGCAACATTTTCATTGATTTGTTATCGATTCAGGTTTTATTTTTGTTCTTGTAAACTAAAATATTTCTTTATCATAAATAACAATTTTATAGATGAGAAATACATTTTTCATAAATTTTTAATGACATTTATAGATTTAAAATAGATATTTGTGTACCAAAGGCTATAAGTATCGAGTTGATCTTTTACGGCCGAATCAGAAATTTACGGCCGAGGCCAAGTAACTTCTGGCAAGTAATATTACATCCATTTAACAACTTATGTAAGAATAGAAAACCCGTATCATGCATTCATTTTTCACGAGAGCAATTATTAATAATTCCAGATATTTGACGCCAGTATCTAGCTAGTTTATTCCTACATGGTATGTATGTCTGAAAAACCTCCTGTATTCTAATAAATCACATAAATTAAATTTTGTCTTTGTACAACTTGTGTGTGATAAAAATGTTTTATATATGACTCAATTAAGCTTCATCCAAAAATGTATTAACATACAATTAACGCAAATTGAAAAACAATACAAGAATTAAATTATAAAAATTCAATATAAAATTATTAAAAAAGTACAATATAAAAGTATCAAAGGTGGTAATTATAAATAAAAAAAGAACAAAATTGGTTATAGGAGTGTCTATTTTCAAAGAAATATAATGGAAATCCCATAGGAACCGAAGTTGTGCATGGGCTAAATATTATATTTAAATGTATGTCACCAAATTGAATTATTTTTAGTTTCATACTAGATACATAGGTACCTCAACTGCTTCTGATGCATTTCAACTCATGTAATTTTTGGTCTCTTAAATATGTTAGAAGCGAATATTGACAGATATTCTAGACTGAAACCTTCTACTTCGCTGAGTTAAAACGGGGGCTTATTGTCTAACCAGCATTTTTGAAAGCACTCAGCTCCCTTCATAAACGCGACAACTAGCAAAAGTGTAAAGCACAAACGTTTTGGTATTCTCTACTTGTTGTGTTGTTCGTATTTGAAAAAAGTAAAGCGCATTCAAAAAAGTTTATTTTTAGAAGTAGATAAGTCAAACATTAAAATATATATCTAAATATTATGACTTGAATATTAAAATGTCAGCAAATATATGATGTTTATTGTTTATGATTCCTTACAATTCTGAAATTGGCCTTAATATATTCTAATTGAGTTTATAATTGTAATAATGTCAAAATGACATTCAAATACTAACCTTAGATATTTAGACAAATCAGCATTTACGATTTATAATTATTATGACAGATTACAACAAAAATTAAAATCACATACGAATAGCAAAATCGTCTAGCATTTGAGAATACCAATAATAATAATAATAGTAAACGTATTTTATTGGCATAACCAACTGGCCATCGACCGAAGTCCTTCAGCCTGAGAATACCATAATCACATGCTTGTCGTTTTGGTGATCGAACTTTGTTGAGAAGTCTGCTTGGTGCTTTCGTTGATATGCATTTTCAGCTGAAACTTAGAAAATAACCCCCTTTGACTTGTTCTAGATTAACACACTTCTCATTTATAAATTTTTAACAGGTTTTTTAAAGTTTTTGGAATTTTAGATATTTTAATAATCTCCAAAATGATATGTGACAAATATTTTGTCTCTGAATTTGGGTATTTTTATAGATGTCTTCTTTATAATTTGAATAACCTATTCTATAGCTTCTGGAGCAATGTCGGTGGAACAACTTAAATTTTCTGATCCAGTATGTGCATATTATAATTATAAATCTCTTCTAGACTCTGTCTTTCACTACATTCACTAGGAAGTAAATTTTCCCTAAAAAGAATTATAAAATATTTACAACATAATCATTCTATAAGTATAATTCATTTCATTACTAAGAAAAAAGAAACACTTTGGAGTAGTTTATATTTTCATAAAATGTTTTCTTTCCAGAAAGCACTGAGATTTATTTTACTTTGTCTAGGAGAATACAATATGGCATTTATTTTTTAAATTTAATCTCCAAGTTTATAATGTATGAAAAATTTGTATTAGGTATTGTATTACATAATATTATTATAACTTAATTGTATAACTTACTTGAAGACGGACCAAGGAATAAAATAGGAATTGCTTCCAGATTTAAATTCGTCTTTTCCGGCAGAATTCATAACAAAATAATATAAAATGTTTCCAATATATTTTATATTTCCAATTTATGTTAATTT